TGTTCTCCCACTTGGGCCTGGAACATTCCCTGCCCTGGCCTATCTTACTAATCCGTCAGATTTTGATTTACCAGTCACTTTCTAGGGGAAGGCTCCTTGCCTGACTCTTTGCTGTAGGACTTACAGCACATGTGAATTACCCTTTGACAAAGCTCATCACAACATGTCTGTTTCCTCCGATGGACTGTGTGGGCCAGAGGGCAGGGACTGTGCCCATCTTCCTCACCGCGGTCCCCCCACCGCTTAACACAGGCGCCAACACCCACCACGCCCCCTGCCTGGCAATTCCTACCCATTTTTAAATCTCACTCACCTAGGGGACAGCCTTCTCTGAGCACTCGGACCTGGGGACACATTCTCTCCTTGTATAGAACCCCACAGCCCTCCGGACATCTCTTGCAGGACTACCACAACTGTAAAAGTGCCTGATTTTAGTATGTCTCCCTTCTTTGACTTTCTGACTTGTTTCTCTTAACCTCAGCATTTTTTTTCTTTTTTTGTTTTGTTTTGTTTTGTTTTTTGGAGGGGAGGTAATTAGGTTTATTTATTTATTCATGTTTAAGGAGGGTACTGGGGATTGAACCCAGGACCTCCATGCACTCTAGCACTTGAGCTATACCCTCCCCCAATCTCAGCATTTAAAACAATGCTTTTCACAAGACTCCTCTCAGGTCAGCCCACAAGAATTCTTATGAAAATCCCTGAAGTTGAGTGCAGACTTCTCTGTGCATGTACGATTTTTCTGAAGAGTCAGTCTGCGGCTTTTGTTGGTGTTTCAAAGGGGTCCGAGACCTGAAATGTTAAGAACCTTTTCCCAGAACCTGAAGTAGTCTTTCCTTTAAAACAGCACTGCCAACCCAGGTGTGTATGCAAAACCATTACCTTAGAATTTAAGTTCCAAGAGAGCGAGGATTTTCATTAGTGTGCCCCAGATGCCTGGAATGCTGCCTGGCCCTTTCTAGGGGTAGGTGCAGAATGACCAAACACAGTCTCTGACAATTGTAAGAGTCATGAGGACTGTCTGTATAGTGGTTATCTATTGCTGCTCAACAAAGTACCCTAAAACGTAAGGGCTGAAGACAGCATTTATTATCTCAGTTTCTCTAGGCTGGGAGTCAGGATGCAGTTTACTTTGGTCGTCTGCTTCAGGGTCTCTCACAAGACTACAGGGTGTTGGCCAGGGGGCTGCAGTCATCTGAAAGCTCCACTGGAGAAGGATCTGCTTCCCAGCTCACTCATGCGGTCACCAAGAGGATTCAGTTCCCTGACTGTGGGCTGGAAGCTACACTCAGTTCCCCACCACGTGGCCTCTTCATAGGGCGGCTCACAACATGGAAGCCTGCATCGTCAGAGTTTGCAAGCAAGAGGAGAGGGGAAGAAAGAGAGAGAGAACACACTAACACGATGTCCATTACAATCTTTCGTACTTGACCTTGGAAGTGGCATCCCGTCATTTTTGCCGTGCTCCACTTGTTGAAGCAAGTCTCTCTCTAGATGGAGCGCACACTTAGGGGAAGGAGATTACACTAGGAATGAATAGGGATGGACAGCAGCAGGCAGGGTCCTTAGGGCCATCTTAGAGGCTGCCCACTCCAGGACATTGACAACAGGTTTTCTCATACAGCATCCAGCTCATCTGAAAACCCAGAGCAGAATGCGTGGACCAAACTGTAGCTCAGTGGTAGAGCACATGCTTAGCAAATGCCTGAGGTCCTGGGTTCAATCCCCAGTACCTCCATAAATGAATAAATAAACCTAATGACCCCCTACCCCCCAAACAAAAGCAAAAACAAATGCCTACAGGTCAAGACGATGCCCTGGGAGGAAACCGTGGTGGGAGGTTTGGCGCACAGCTGAGCCTCTGCCCACTGTCCAGCAGAGTGCTGCCATGCGGGAATGTAGATTGACTTGTCGGGTCTTCTAACTTTTCAGAAGCAGCCAGATTTCCACGAGGCATTTCCTGGTTTTTCAAACTGTGATAATCTAGCTAGCACATATTTGAGGATTAAGTTTTTGACTCTTCTCTTTGGAAGGAAAGTCCTAACCTATTCCACTACCCTTTTACATGTTGTTCTCTCTCTCCTGTTCCCACCCTCCCGCTCCCCCCACCGCCCCTCCTGGTTCACTGAGGGCAGGGACCTAGCTAACTCACCCCGCACACTTTCTCTAACTGTCTGCATGTAGCAGGCCAGCAATATGTTGATGTCAGATTTCACTGACTTTGCTCCTATATATCTCATTAGGGAGCATTCCCCACCTCCAATCCTAGGGGAGTGGGTAAAAGTGGGCTCTGGTGTCAGAATAAGTTGGAATCCTAGCTCTGCCACTTGCTTGTAAGATTTTCAGCAATTTACTAACTTTCCAGAGCCTCAGCTTCTTCGTCTATAAAATGAGAGTAATCCTACCTGCCTCAGAGTTGTTATAAGATTTAACTGAAACAAAATATTTGTTAGTGCAATATAGCAACTCAATAGCTATTCTTACTCACATCATCCCCCTTGTTTCCTCACTGGCTCCCTGGTGTGTCTCCCCTGAATCCATTAAATCATCATTTACCACTGTGCACCTTGCTGGCAGCTAGAGGGAGCCCTGAAGATGCAGATCTGTCATTTTCACTGCCAGGGTTGACACCCTTCAGCAGTTTGCTGATGCCCTTAGGAGAAAATTCAAAACTTTTTAACGCAGTCCGTCAGGTTCATGGCAGCTGCACCTGCCCAGCCCTCGAGTCTCATTTCTCACCACGACCTTCCCTCGGCTCCAGGCACACTGAAGATTTGTTTCTTGAATGCTCCACACTTTCTGCTGCTTCAAATATTTTGCGAGTGCTCTCTCCAGCTGGAACCTCTTCTCTCCACTCCTGCCACCCCTTCTAGACATTCCGTCAATGCGCTATCAGAGAACTTTCGATGTTCCTTGCGAAACCTGAGGGCAGGTACAATATCTATTTTCCTCATCATTCTCCTCTTCTAGCATAACGGCCACAAATAGGCAAAGAATACCCATTTGTAAAACCGCTCACAGCAGTGCTGATCCCGTGAGCAGACAGCGCCATCTGTTGACCCAAAATGGCACTTCAACACCTAGAAAGGAGCAGGCTCTCTGGCCACTCCTCAGGCAACGGTTTTGAAGTTTTCTTGGGGTCTACCTCGTGTCTCCTTACATCAGTTAGCAATTTTTTTTTAAAGAGCTAACATTATTAAGTATTTAACATGGATGAGCTAGGCAGTTTCCTAAGTGTCTTAGTTATTAATACATGTAATTTTCACAACCACTCAATGAAGTAGGTACATTTATTACCACTTTGTAGATGGGGTAACTGAGACACAGAGTAGTTGAATGCCTCACTCAGGATCACACAGCAAGAAAATTTGACCCCAGGTAGTCTGACTTGAACCAGTACTTCTAAGCCTGAAAATCAATGTGTCTACTGTCTCCTGTATTTGTGAGCCCCCGACCTGGTGAGGTTATCTCCCAGACTCCTCCCTCTACTGTGAAGGCACTGCTATCATGGTGGCACTGGTGTCACACAAAATTCTACCGAGAGTGACCCACACATTTCAATAGCTGCGAAGTTCTCCAAGAGCACCCCTCAGGATGGGAATTAGATGCAACCTCTCCTCCGTGAGACAGCATGTGCAGCAGTCAGTCCTGGCCTCCATTCCTGCGACCTCCAGCAGGCAAGCACCTCTCTGAGCCCATATCCTAACGGGATCTTTAGCCAGCTGGGTGCATCAGATCAGAAACCCTATGAAGAGTGAGGCACACAGTCCCCGAACCAGGTGAACTCTGAATGGCAGTGGTTATCACCTAGTCCCATCCCTGGATCACACACATCACATGTGAAGCTGGGTCACTTCGTACGGTTTGACATTGCTATTTAGAACCAAGTGGTTGTGGCATTATTCTAAATGACTTACTCACACTAACTCATTTGATCTTCTCAACTGCCCTATGATTTCTCCTGATTTTACAGGTGAGGAATCCATGCACTGAAGTGTCTAACGTGTCCTGTCCTGGGTCCCACAGCAAGTGGCGGACCTGAGGTGTAACTTAGGCCATTGTACCAGTCTAAGCTTTTAAACACTACCTCAGACTCCCTCTGCTGGAAGAGGCTGTGTCTACTCCCGAGTGCCAGGCATGCTGCTTTGTACACTGTAGGTGTCAACAAGCTGGTTTTAATATATATATGTATATACACACACACACAGTCACATTCTCGTGTGACAGCTACCCCTTCTCCGACCTGAAAAGAGCTCTGTCATACTCCAGGCTCCCAGAGACTCTCCAGAAAGAGCCTAGGCCCGGCAGTCTTCACAGTAATGACACCCAGTGGGGGCAATTTTATTAGACAAGTGGGAGGGGACAGGGTGCGCCTCGGGGGGTGCCCTGTCTGGGGCCTCACGCAGGCCCAGAGCCCTGCTGCACCCTCTTCATCAGCTCTTCATCCTGCATGGACAGCTCTGTCAACTTTTTGCCCATTCGCTCATGAATGTCCAGGTACTTAGAGACACAGCGGTCCAAGCACACAGACTCGCCCTTGGACAGTTCTGCTTCCTTGTAGTGGGGAGGCACACACTTCCGGTGGCAGGCACTGGTCATTCTAGGAAGAAGGAAGGGCAAGGTTGGGTCAGCAGCATCCTGTGGCCGAGGAACTCTTAACCATTCCCGCCCTGCTATAATGATTTCACTTTTCAAGAAGGCTGTGTAAATCCTCAGTTTGCACCTCCACCGTCTTGGAAAGTCCTTGAGAGTAAGAACCTTGTCTAAGCCCATGTTTATGACTAATCAAACAGGAACCATTAGTTGAATGCTGGCTATGTTCCAGACATCACGGATTCTATCATGCAGTCCTTATGATAACCCCTATGAGGTTTAGCATTATTCCCTCTTTTACAGATAAGGACTTTAAGGCACAGACAGCCTCAGGATCACATAAAGCTGGGCTATGAACCTGGCTAGTCTGACTTCACAGCCGACATTTAAAAACTATTCTAATACATGGCCTCCAAGATAAGCCAACTGATCAAGGGAGGATACCACAGAGCTTAAGCCAATAAAAATAGCAAATATTTGCTGGCTGTTTATTCCTAGATGCTGGGCTTGATGCTAAGAGCTTGTCATATATTTTTACCTTTAATATTTATAATGGCTCAATGAGGAAGGTACTATTATCAACTCCATTTTATAGATGAGGAACATACCAGTCAAACAGTCCAAGTAACTCGCCCAAGGCCATAGTAGTGGTGATTGGTACAGCTACGAATTGTTCCTAAATTTGTCCAATGGTTATGGGCACTAGTTAGGAATTAGACCGAGGTACTGGTCCCGACATTGTTACTGACCAGCTGTGGACTCTGAGTAAGTTATTTAACTGCTAGAAGCCTTAATGTCCTCACCTTAACATGGGACAAATTAAATTAACCCAGTGGAGATTAAAAAAAAAAGAATGCATGTAGTGATCAACATGTGTCTGAGATAGACTAAGAGCTTACGAAATGTTAACTACTATGTGTGCTATGTGCTATTTGTCAAGAGACAAATGCTCAACTATTCCTGGAAACTAACTAGAGCCACCAGAGCGTGGACTAGACCTTCTCTTCCAGCTGGGCTCCTTCATCACCAATTCCATCCCAATCTAAATGCCCAATTCCTTTTAGTGACTCCTTACTGCATCTGCATTAGCTCTTAATAATGGGGGAGAGGGGCAAGGGTGAGGTGGGTGCGGGAAGGGTAAGCATAGACGTCAGGTTCCTCTAGATTGAGGAAAAAAATTTTCCAAAGTCATCCACCTGGGTACAAGGTAGTGCAGGGTCAGCTCTTACCTGTTGTACATATCAGCCATCATCTCTACCTCCAGCTCTGCCGCCAGCTGCTGGGCCCTGAGTGGGTCCATCTCAGCCCTGCACCGTGTAAGAGATCTCCTTCTGCCTCCTAATCCTGGGGGCAGATATCACGGTCAGTACCCACTTCTCCCGTTCACTTTTCCATCCCAGGGGCGGAAGGATGCAAAGGAATCAGAGGGCAGCAGATCAGCAGGTGCTACTGACCTCAATGAGTTCAACCGCCCCATTTCACAGCTCTGGAAACCGAGGCCCCGAAAGGGGACATTGCCTAGCCCAAGGTCACAGAGCATATCATTGGCGGGGCTGGAAATCCTGGAAATCAAGCCCCAGAACCCTGACGCCCAATCCCTAGAAGTCACCTCTATCCAGAAGAAGATGGGGAGACCGGACGTTACACTCTAAACCGCCGGTATGAGCCTGCTGGGCCCTAAGAATGCGATCATACGCGGAATTAAGGCGCCCAGGCCTCCACCCAGGGACTACACCTGAAATGGCAGCTCCATCATCAGGGTCACCTTGAGGTCAGAGGTCACTCACCACGGCCTCGGGCCTGTCACAATGCCCCCGCTGTCCCCAGCTTCAGGCAAACATTACAAACTTACCGGGTACCCAGGTAGGATAAGGCGGAAGCACGTGGGTCACTTCCGGGGGGGAAGTCCCGCCTCTTCTCTGACCCGTACTCGCTTCCGGAATGAAGCACCAACGAGGCGGCGCTGGGAACTCCGCTACCATAGAGAGGGAGCTGCCGGCCCTGGCTGAAGGCTAAGGCGTTTCTCAAGTGCTAGAGAGGACGCCAAAGTATCATAGAGTCTTGGTCGAGGCGCAGAGCGCCTGCAGCCTGGGTTGCCTCCAAATCCCCAGGGGTGTCACGGAGCGGTTTGACTTTTTTGGTTCTGTAGGAGGGGCAGGACCTCGGAGCTCCGTGAGGCTCGCTCCCGCCCCGGACAGCTGAGGCTTGAGCTCGAACCAGGCGCGGAGAATGAAGAACGCCCCCAAACAGCAGTTCTCACTCAGTCTGTGCTGCACTTAAGATCACTTAAGACGCTTAAAAAAAAATTATGATGCCCAGGCCTCACTTCATACCAATTAAATCAGAATTCCTGGGAGTATGACCCAGGCATCAGTAAATTTGAAAATTCCCCGGGTGATACCTATGTGCAGCCAAGTTTGAGAACCAGCGCTCCGAGGGCCTCTGTGTGAATACAGCTGTGTGTCGGTCACTAAGCTTTCTCTGAGGTTTCATAAACATGGGAGGCACGTTTCCTGCCTGCAGAAAGATGCGTCAAGTGTACAGTAGGTTTCATTCAACTTCTGTTAGATGCCCTGGGCCACAAGGAGAGGCATAGGAACAGTTGTGGCTGCCACCAGAGCTAACCTAGCACGTTTCGGTGAGAGAGGAGAGAGTGCTTGTGAACTCATCTTTCAAGACAGTGTATTCCTCTGTCTCCCCACCTGCCACCAATGAAAAGAACCCACCTCAACTACTGGATTTTTCAAGGGATTTCCCAGTAAATGAAATTTAGAAGATGCAAATTAATCAAGCAAGGGTACGCTGCCCATTGGAGAAGGTGGGCTGGATGCTTTATATGGTTGGTCACCGTATCCTTCCCTACGAAAATCCCGATTTTAAACACTGGGCCTCATTACTGCTCTAAGGACTCAAATATTTTGTCAAACCCTGGCCCAGATATTTTTAAATTGAGGTATGACATTCAGACAATAAAGTAAAATACACAATTTAAGCTTAGCTTTTAAATAAATATTTTATGACCATCACTCAGATTAAGATACAAAATACTTCCAGCACCCTAAAAAGGTATCTCATGTCCCTTCCCAGTTAATACCCCTTCTCCTTCAGTTAACCACTATTCTGACTTCCGTCAGCACCAGTTAGTTCTGCCTACTCTTGAACTTGAGCTAAATGTAATTACACAGTATTTTCTGTTTTGTGAATGACTTTGTGTGTGTTCTTTAGCTCAATGCAGTGTCTTTAAGATTTAATCCATATTGTCATGCATTTCTGCTATTCCTTCTTTTTTATTGCTGTCTAGTGCTTTTATAAATAAGCCAGAAGTCATTTATCTGTTCTCCTGTTGATGGACTTTTGGGTTGTTTCTAGGTTTGGGCTATTATAATAATGCTGCTATGAATATTATTGTACGTATGTTTTTGCTTTTGAAAATATAGTCAGCATATTGTGGAATATTACGAAATTGCATGAAAGAAGGAGATGGGTTCTTACAAGAGGAATTGGCTTCCTAGATGGGATTTTTATTTGGTATTTTGGAAGGTTACATACTGTGTGTCTCCATTTAAATAATGTTCTCAAAATGACAAAATTATAGAGATGGGAAAAGGGATTAATGGTTGCCTAGGGTCAGAGTTGGTGGGGGGGAGGTAGGGAGGTGTGCCTAAGGGAGTAGCACAAGGGAGATCTTTGTGTTGATGAAATGGTTCTGTGTCCTGATGGTGCGTGGAGGTGTTTATACAAATCTGAGCTGTCATAGAACTATTCACACCATTGTACCAATGCCAACTTCCTGGCTTTGGTATTGCATATAGTTATGTTAGATTTAGCTTTCGGTGGATAAATCTTAAATAAAACTTAACCTTCAGTACCCTCTCTGTACTATTTATGTAACTTCCTGTAAACTTATCATTATTTCAAAATTAAAAGTTTAATCAAATCATTACCGAAAAAAACCCCACAAAAAACCCAAACAAAAAAGATAATGTACTTAAAGCACCTAGTCCATGGCAGATGTGCAATAAAAAGAAATCATTGTTCTCTTTTTTTTAGACTTTTATTTATTTGGGG